TTGAAAAGAGTAGGGAAAAAATTAAAAATAAGAGAAAAAAAATCCAATAATGATAATTTTGGAAATAAAAAATAAAAATGGAAATGAAGGGCTTCCTTCAGGATATGTCTCTGCTGTCACAATAGACAACATGGGCAGCAGTGTGCAGATATAAGTCAGTGATTCTCAGCCAGCCAGTCACAGACCCATAGGATTCCAGCAGATTTCTGGCAGCAAGTCCCAAGTTGAGCTCCGGGTCCTCCTGTAGGGTTGAACTCTCCAACGTAGTACTGCAGGTTCCAGCTGTCCTTCCCCTGAAGATAGTCCAGGTTCCGAAGGAAGGTGATGATCCCTCCAACTTGCCCAGTACAGTGGCCTGGTGTCCCCTGTGTCTTTGTAGTGTGGAACCAGGGAGTAGAACAGCCAGGAGGCTAGAGGTGGGGAGGGGGTCCTGCAGGCACCTGAGAGGCTAAGAGGGTCACTGCCATGGGCATGGCCAATGACAAGGGGTCCTCACCTTCTGGCTGGTCCCCACTGGATGGAGTGAGGCTCCTGGCAACCTGGGACTGGAAAGAGAGATTCTGATGGGAGCAAGTCAGAGCATAGCATGATATCTGTGTACACACTAATATTAGTGAGTGCTGTTTAGGAATAAGAACTTAATGCAAAGTATGTCTAGCCTAATCTGCACATTTTTGGAACTATCCTATTGCTATAAAACAGGCTCTCAGCATTGAATGTTGCCAAAGCACTTGTTTTGGTCTTTAAATAAGGTGGATTGACAAACTAAAGGTACACTTAGAAATTTAAAAAGAGATATCCTATATTAAGAATACCCTATATTAAAGAAATTTTAAAAGGGTTATCCTATATTAGGAATATCCTATATTATTCCTAAGAGTCTGAGTTCTAATTTTGGCTGAAAGCAAGAAGTAAATTTGTTAATTAAGCTTAGTTATTTCAAGTCTGTGGGTACATTTGATGCCATCTAAATCAGTAGATTACAGATGTATTTATCATCTACTCAGATTATAAAACATTGGCTCAAATGTTTTTCATCTTTCTAGAGATAAGAGGAATATACATGCTCAAACAATTAGGAAGTAGGCAAATATGATATTTTTGGGGAAAGGATTTTAAGGAAATGGGAACTTTCTGATTATTATCCTAAAAAACCAAAGCTGCTATCTCACTAAGTCCTCAGACTCAGTACTCAATAAATTCATGATGGCCTGACAGAAAGGAACTATTACTTGAAAAATTAACAGAACATCCTATTTCTTACAATTCTAAATCAAAGTAATATCTTGTTGACTTGTTCAAATAAGCCTCTCATCTAGCTTTCCATCATTATTATTCTGTCTCTTGCTTTGTTTTCCTCTTTATTTGGCTAACTACATATTATGACAGCCATCTCTGGGGTCACCAGTCACATTCAGAATATATAACCTTTGAACCTTGTTTACTGAGATTTATAGGAGCCTGTCATCTGTACACATAGATTTGAAGCTCACTCTTAAATGAATGTCATGTGCAATTAATTTGCCATAGAATGAATTTGATTTTAGAATAAAAGTCAGTTCCTTTCCTGGTTGTCAAAATCATTGCTTTGTTGAATCTTACACTCAAGAAACTTAAGGATGTTCAATCTCCTTATTGCTTTCCAGTTCATTTAATGGACAAAATATTTGTATTGGCAAACACTTTAATGAGTGGCTATTGAAATTGTTATTTTTATTTTAGCATTAATGGTGCTGCTTAATTTTGCATTGTTGAGAGATACGTATTTACTTATCTAAACTCATCTGAATCCGACATGTAAGCATGTTGGGATTCCTAATTGTAAATGAGGTAAATACAATAGAATGTTTATAAATTTTAACAGTAAAATCCATGTCACAAGCACCAATTAAGTACCTACTATGTACAAGACAGTGGTGTTTCTGTGAGAGGACATGTTTAAATTGAATTACCTGAGTACTTGCCCTTTGATTCATTAAATCTCTAAGGATATCAGCAGAGAAAGATGAACTCTACACACATCAACATGTCCTAAATGGCAGGAAAGATCTGTGTGTTAGATAGCGATGGGAGGAAGAAGTGGTTTCCTCCTCCCACTGAAAGGTTTTGTATTACATCTCTGATGGGAATGTAAGTGTTAATGTGTGTGGTTCAGTTCAAGAAGTTCCAGGAGTATTGCTGTTATTTCCTGAGGATATGTTAGTATCTTAAAGAGGCAAAGTAGTTGGTGCAAAGAGTCAAATACTACTAGATTAAAGTTCTGACCTGTGATAACTTACCGCTTCAGCCTCAATTTCCCTGTGTGTAGAGTACATGGATCTCACGGAATGGTGAACTCCAGGCTTTCCTTCTGTAAGACACACTTACACTGGAGCTGCTGGGAGAGAGAAAGTCTGAAGGCCCTTGCTTGAGTCAGATGCCTTTCTTTGCTAAAAGTAGACCTCCCTTGATACTTCCCATACTGTGAGCACTGGTGGAAGGGAGAGGGACCAAAGAAAAGTAGAGCTGACAGCAAAGGATTGATGGTCTCCAAGATAGTGCTTGTCAAAATAGTGAAGAACCTATAACTTTTCTTTTCTTTTTTCCCACCAGTTCTGTGCAGATTGAGACTTTAAGAAAAAAGACAAAAAATGCAAATCTATTTTTAGTTATTAATTGTACTATCTAATATAAAGCCCTCTTAACCTTTGCTGTCCATCTTTGAGCTTATGTTGTTACAGAACACACTTGTGAAGCTGCCTAAGCTTCTCTTTTCCTTGTTTTGGAAACCTCAAGATTCTCTTAAAAAAAAAAAAAAAAAAAAGTAACATCTTATCAGGAGGCCTCATCCTCAAGCTCTCCCATGATACTCACCCTTTGCTACAACCCTCTGTTGGCAGTAGCATCCTTGACTACTATGTATGACCCTTGTTCTCCTCCCATGGAACTGGGTGCTTCTTTTCTTTCTCTTGGTCAGCTTTCCAAAAGAGGTGCTTTCCTAAGTTTCTTGCATAGAGGTCAGGCTCTGTACACTTCAAAAAGATGAATGCCATTTCTTAAATGTAGTTAGGAGACTTTCCTTAAAATTTCATTCCATCCCTATATGAGAGTAGAATGATCAAAAAGTGAGTACATGTATATATTTTGAGTAGTGTCTGGAAGAAAGTTATATACTGGGACTTCTGAGGTGTTATGGATATGACTTCCCTTTGAAAGGAGAAAAGTGAATAATATTCCTAACAAAAAGGAAGGCACCTATCACTTACAAGTAAAATTAAGAGATGAACAACTTCCTTGTTTTCTCCTCTTCTCCTCATTCTGTGTCCCTTTCTTGAAACTTGAGTTTAGGCAGGTATAATATGTAAAGCTGTGGAACGAGGAATTCAGTAGATATTTTTTTTGTCAGTTACAGACACTGTAACTTCTCTGAACTTATATATACTTGTTGGTTACATGGGGAGGTTAAGCACCATAATCTGTGACATCATTTCCAACTCAAAAATTCTGTAATTTTTTTACATTGCCTCAAATTATCTTGTGTAACACATTGACTATCCTGTCCCAGGGTTCTGGTTATGTGTTAACCCTACTTACTTTTTTTCTCTTCTAGCATCTGTGTTCTGATTAGTGGCCAAATAAATGACATTCAGAAGTTCAGCTAAGGTACAGTAAGGTAAGATCTTTTTTGCTAGTTGAGTTCCTTGCTTGAAAAAAGGAATTGATAGCTTGATCTAAGAGAATAAATTAACAAGAAATAAAAATTTATTGCTATTTTATTGGTATTTTTCAGCACAATTTGTAATTTCTACTGTATGTATTATAATATAAACATATAGTCATGCTTTTGTCTTAATAAAGATAACTGTTATTAACAAATTCAAAATTATAGTGAAGATATGCTTATTAAAATTTGAAATAAGTTAACTTTATTTCAAACACTTTTATATCTTAATTAACAGCGTGGGTTTTTTTAATAATATAAAATGTTTGAATAATTAGCATGTATATGGGCATTAGAGCTTGTCTTAATATTATTAAATTTAGAATTAATCCTTAATTTATATTGCCTTTGTTCAGATTGCTATCTGATTGTGGACATAAAGAAACAGAGACATTCTGAGAAAACTCAGTCCCTTTTAAATGTCATTAATGATACTTTCTCTATTCACCAAACACTGCAAATGTCCTAACTCAAATCCATTTTCCCTTTCTTTCTTTATGATGAAATATTCATGCTATGAAGGACAGCAACCCATGCCCAGTTTAAATATTCTCATCTTCCCAAATTCCTTTACCATGCCCATGTGACCCAGTTCCTGCCAATGTTCTCTAAATGATGGGCCTTTGGCCATGTGACCAAATTCCTGCCAACAAGCTTTCAGTCCTGTGTCCTGTGGCCATGTGAGCCAATGAGATCCGAATGATGGGGAGAGCTCCCTTCCTGGGTTAAAAAAGCAAACATTTAAGAGACAGTTGTTTTGGACTATTTTCTTTTGTTGCTTTCCTTTTCATCCTACCTGGAAAACAGCTTTCATCTTGCAATCCCAAGGACAGATGCTACAAGTAATGATACTGGCACAGAAAGATAAATGAGCTTGGGCTCTAGAAAGCCCCCCATTACATTTCTTCTTGCATGAGACTCATACACCCCGAACTAAGACAAGCTGCCTAGGTTTTCTGACACTCAGAACCAAGTAGGGACTGAGTTGAGTCAATGACATTCATATCTGAACATGATGTTCAACATGATTCCATATCCATTTTAATCTTCACTATCAGGTTCTGTATTTTTATCTGCATTTTACATGGGCTTTGAAATATTAAGAACTTTTACCAGTGGTTGGAAATGGCATCAGTGAGGTTTGAACTTGCATCTGACAGGTGCTGTGTAATGCTACCTCAATGCTGATCTTAACAGTATATGCTAGGAGCCTGTGCTATTGCTTATTATATTTTTAGTTCTGGCTTTTTTTTTGTACCAGGGATCGAACTTGGGACCTTGTGCTTGTGAGGCAGGAGGTGGCACCACTGAACCAAATCCCTGGCGCTTATTATATTTTTGCTAGTGGATGGGCATTGTCAGTTCAGGAACCCTTTGAACACTCTGTAATGGCATGGGCTATCCATTAGATTATCCATTTATAAAGTTAAGTGAACTGAAGCTAGTCCTGTACAGGAGGGAAAGGAAAGGAAAACCCCTGGCTTGGAAGAATCAGGATAAATTGGAATTACCAATGAATACAGGAAAAGGAAATATTAATTCTTAGCATGTTTTGTATTTTGTTCTTTTGAAATAAAAGTTTAGAAGTATGTAATGATCTAAGTATGACCATCAAAACTCAAATTTTAACCTATAATCCTAATATTAATTGTCCTCCTTCTAACAAACTCTGTTATTTTACTCATGCTTATTCGGTTCTAAAAAAATACTGAAGATAAAGGATGGGCTTTTGATGAAATTCCTTTCCAAAGAAAGTCATGCAAGGCATTGAGTAAGGCACTGGGCTGAGTCTGGGAGGAGGTGCTAGATAATGGAAAAATCCTCTGGCTGGAAAATAAGAGACTGGAAATGCAGGTGGCTCAGCTCTTTTGTGGTGGGGGAAAAAAGCCATTTCACCTTCTAGACCTTTATTCTTTATTTGTAAATTGAGAGTGTACAATATTATGATACGCTGTGAGTGGAAAATAACAGCTTACCTTCTTGGGTCTCCTTCGAAAATGCTGTTATGAAGAAATGCTCTCATACCTATTAAAGTGAGAATTTCTCTTTTTTCTCATTGAACCTAAAAGTTATCAGTTCTTTTCCTTTTCCTTCACTTTCTTCCAAATACTGTACATCCTGAATCGCTTGTCTTTTTTTGTCATGACGTTACTCCTAGTTATCCTCCTGTCTTGCTTGGAGAGTGGCATTGAGTTTCTGGTGGTCATCTGGCTTCCCTTCTGGCCATACCAGTATACATTTTGGGCAAAGCTAGTTTGTCTTCGAAAACTCGATCATATCTTGTCAATCTCCTGTCTGAGACCTGCTCACAACTTTCAGTTCCTTCCCCTACGTTTAGAATAAACTTACATGTATTACACGACTTAACAAATCTGATAAGATCTGATTCGTACCTGTGCTTTTTTCCCTGGTATCCTAAACTCAATCATTTCTATTTTTGTTTCTGTTTTTGTTTTGTTGTTCTTCTTAAATATTTCTCTATGTCCTTCCTTCTTGGAACCCTGGCACTGAGTCGCCTAGCTTGCTGCATTCTGCATTCTTGCTCAACCCTTCCATTCAGTTCTCCATAGACCTCCCCTAGCCACTCTATGAATGAGCTCTGTCTGGGTACTCATGCTTAACTCCTTTTCAAAACTGGAAGTTTTATATTTTAAGGTATATTAAGCTGTATATATATATGATATTTTAAGGTTTATATATATATATATATATGTATCTTTATGGAGTAAAGTATCTTCATGTATATTTTAAGGGACATAGTAAGACTTGAAGAATTCTGCCATATTTGTAATTTGTTGTTTCTCTCACCATGATATGATCTAAGCTCGATGAGGGTAGGGCTTTCTTTTTTCTTTTCTTCTTTTTTTTTCAACAGTGCCAAAACCACATCTCCAGGCAAAAGAATTACGAAATATTTATTGAATGAAAATGAATGTAGAGCCACAAGATCCCACCAAGTAGGTATTCCAAAAGCAATTGAACAGTGCTTATGGATGTTCCTGACATATCTAGTGCTTAGATGGGGAGGAAAGCAAAAACAAAAAGATGAAAGGAAGAAAGGGACAGAGAGACAGGCGGTGGTACAAAAAGAAGGTAGCAGTACATTCTTGGGAAGGATCACTGTATCTCTGTCCAGTAGCACTTCCGACCTTTGACAGTGGGTGCCAGGGCTCAATTCTGTGTATGTCAGAGAGATTCATCAGCCAAGCCTGGCACATTCAAGAGATATTTTGTTGAATGAAAGAAGCCCCACCCCCCAAAATAATGAATTATTGAACTGCTAAGAGCAAAATTTTGTCCTTTTTTGAATGGACATAATAATATTCCCTTGATGCCAAGATTTTGGCTACGTTATAGCAGACATTCCAGATACAATGAATGCGAAAACTGCTCCTGTGCTGGGCATCTCCCTCAGAGCATTGCAGAGTTAATTCTGTCTTCAACTGAATCGTCACAGTGACTCTCCAGAGTGGCACACCGTGCTAATGCATTAAGCATGCTGCCAAGAAAATGGAAAATAGAAAAATGTCTTATCTGTCAATTAAGTGATGTAGCCTTGTGGTTAGATTATAGCAATTCAAGAGCTTTTTGTTTTCTGCCAATTGAGATTTGACAGCTGTTTATAAAATATTTACATTCTGATTTCAGTCACATTGACAGAACTTTGGGTCTTTGGAAGATGATAATTATATTTTAGGAAAATGTTAAAAAAATTTAAGCTGATATATTGAGAAAAATCTGTTTTTAAAATTGAGCAAATGAAGGGCATCCACATCTTTAAAGGATATACATATAATCAATGTCAGAAAAAGTAACTATTTGTGAACAAGAACATAATATGTGTAATGTTCATGTAATATTAGGGAAGACCCTTCCCAACCCCACCTGTCTTGAGTGCCTCCAATTTTTTATTATTTCTGTCCATCTGGACACATATCCTACTCTTCTTCATTTTTATGTCCAATAAAAATGACAACATTTGCAGGCCACAGGGATAAATTTGATAGGATTTTGCTGTATTTGGATAGAGTTTTATGAAGAACAATCACTACATATTCTTGATATTAAAGGAAGAGAAAAATAAAAAGTATTGGAAGGAGCACTAAGTATTGAATTCATATAGAATTTACAAATAACATATCTTCAAGAGTTTTAATGGTAAGCATAAATTCACCTGTAGCATGTTATTGTCAGGTATTGTATGGAAAATTATGACCTGTAATTCTTGGTCAGTGGTCTCATCAAAGTCTTGATATCTGTGGGATGCTTTGTAAAACAAAGTAAACAATAAAAAATGTAAAAATAGGAAATGTAAAATCTGTCTTATAACCATTCAAAAATTTATTGTTCTTGATTTTATATTTATAAAATCTAGAAGCTGATACTTTCTTTCATTGACAAATGTAATATAGGAACTTCCTGATATAAGGCAATTCATTTTGGAATCCAGGCTCACATATTAGTATATAATATTTTTTAAATTTCTGGAAAGCATGGATGTCTTTGTTGTCCTCCCCTAGCACATAGCTTGGACCTCACTAAAAGGGCATATCAGTTGCTAGTGGAAAGAAGTGAGTTCAACACTAGCATCCATCAGAACAGAAGCAAAAATAAAATTGGAGGCCTTATGTCGACACTTTCCTATTCTTCCTACCCTGCCTGTCTCCTGGAGTCCTCACCCTTGGAAAATGAATCTGACACTTGGCCTGAAAGTCCAAACACCTTCTCCCCCCAGTGCCATGCCTGCTCCTTGGCTACGTTTTGAGGCTGGATCCAGGTGCATAAGATAGCAAGACCACTTTACGCCCTAGATATGAATGGACTTTGAGCTTTTGGGCAAGGAATTCAGGGACCTAAGTATATGTAAGTGGGTCTAGTAGGAACTAAAGTCTTTGCAGCATGTTCCTTAGAGAGAGGTCATGACCAGAAGAAGGCTAGGGAACATGGACACA